ACCAGTGGGGGATTAATGACATACAAACATACAGTCCCCTCCGGTAATACCAGTGGGGGATTAATGACATACAAACATACAGTCCCCTCCAGTAATACCAGTAGGGGATTAATGACAACTTTGTAGGCAGGACCGACTCACCAATTTTAAGTATACGACTGTGCCAGACTTCTCCACCATTGGGTTCTTTCTGTAGTGTTCCACTAAGTCTGACAGGCTGCGGAACTTTTCTCCTCCTCCAACGTCGTATGTCGTATCCTGTGGACACATAGGAGAGATTTCTGATTTATAATTTAATTCAAATCTCTCGCAAACTTAAATACTGTAAAATCATAAATTTACGTGGGACATTAAATTTCATTTATTTCGTGGATAATGAAAATCCACGAAATTAAATCCCCACAAATACCATTACATTTCAAGATCAACTTACTGTATAACATGCAATGTTTGTGGGTATTTTCTTTCGTGGCTTGAAGCCATTTAGATCGTTTCGTGGTACAAATGTTCATGGATTCCCCATATAAACAAAGAAAAGTCAAGCATATCAATCAAATTTGTTGTATTTGTTTTCGTGGATCCGTAGCCTCCACGAAAACCACATATGTTTATATACGACAAACATTTCATGTCATACAGTATTTAACTCATTCACCCTGAAGACACATTTGAACTCTTCCAATTCAAAGGTTGGAATAGTTTATTATAAAATTTCAGGGGTGAATGAGCTTTATCTCCCTGAAAAAGAGAGTGTACAGAACTAATTTATGTGACTTAAAACACAGGAGTGTATGAAGCCCTTACTTCATGTGGATTTATTAAGAAGCGAGTCAAGGGCAGGGCCTTTGTAGGGGAACAAGGTAGTACATGTGTACTACCACGGACGACTGAATACTTGTATATACAATTTGTCTCATGGTCAGAAGCTATGATATCGCAGCTAGGGACAAAAGGGTACACCAAGCAGTGCTTTTGTTGTATTTTTCTGTTTGTAAATTTGGTGGATTCACCTGCGTACCAGACTTAAAGGGACCTAAGCACCTGAAAGATTCAATATATATATAATATACAAATATCTATGCAAATTATCAAGTGTTCCACAAGTCTACTGACATTCAAAAACATTCTTGTATCACAGTCTTTCAAGAAATCCACATCCTCAAAAAGCAATCAAATTATTATTAACTAGGTCACAGAACCTTTGGGGCATGGAACTGACGGCCTTGGACTCATTTTCATTTCATAAGGGCAATGACAATCAAGATTGATACAACTTCAGCAAAATATCAACCTCCATTGTCCACGAACTTGAATTGCTGTCTTAATCTTGCCAGAGAAAACTAACAATAAACGATTATCATGGTGGGCCCGGCTGAATCCTTGCCCTGTACAGTTTTCAGTATGTCAACATTGAGGGCTCAGCAGACATACTGAATAAAATGTGACCAAATTGTTGTCAACTCTGACCAGCACACAAAATACCAATGTTCATTGGGACAGACAGCAAAGTCTATAAAAGGGAACTGGAAGAACAAGAAACAAGATAACCAGTCAGAATACCAACTACAAAAGACGGGGGGGAAAACAGGGACAAAAAATACAGTATATAGGTGTAGCAGAACTGGACCGGGTCGATCACCAACGACCAGGTACGTAGCTCAATTGGTTAAAGCATCTGTTTAGAGTTCAGGGGGTCCTGGATTTGAACCCCATTCCGGCCGTGCATTTTTACGCTTCTATATATTACAGGTGTAAACATGACACTGACTCACTTCTTCATGGAAGCAGATCATAACATGTGTGATTCGATCATCACACCGGACGGAGAGGACGAAGTCACCTGGCTTGCTCTGACTTTCCCTCACCAGGTAGCTGTTGTTTTTGCCCTTCTCCAGTAGCACTTTCTCTGCCTCCTTACCAGACAGGTGGCCATGGAACCATCTATGTAAAATCATACAAAAATCCATCACACATCATATACATAGATATATTCTGACAAACACTTCTACCCTATATGACAAATAATATCATTTTTCATTATATTTAGTCTGATAAACATCCTGTTCTGTCACTTATATTGCATATTGTATTTATTCTAGTGAACACGTTTAATCTAGATATTAATTAACTCATTCACCCCTGAATACACATTTGGACTCTTCCAATTCAAAGGTTGGAATAGTTCATTATGAAATTTCAAGGGGTGAATGAGTTATGGAGGTGGTCACATGAGAAGGTTTGATTGTATTGTATTTATTCTAGTGAAGAGTGCTACCCTATATCACTGATTCTATATCCTCTCAATAACATGCACTAGTATTAAGTCCATTGTATTACTGGTATGTCAGCATATTGTGTGCCAAAAATTGAATTTTGATATAACGCTGAATTTTCTTTTTTTTTCGTTTCATGTATTTATATCATTATTCAAAAGGTGTCAAACATTTTTTTCTACTTTTCATCAGTGAAATCTTGTGACAACTTCAAAATCATACACTTACAGGATTTTTTAGATGGGGAAAAAGACATTCCTACGGCCTATACTAAAACAGTAGTTAGTCAACAGTAATAGTCTATTAATGCCATAGTATCTATATTGCGATATATTAGGGCTGCAACGATATATCGTGCGTCAATGTATCACGATATTTTGAATATGGTATGAAACACATTTTGTTTTTGGAGGATTCCATACAACTAAGATTATTTCAGGAATTTGCCATCTCTGAATTTACTCATATCGGTTCAAACATGGCGAGTGACAGCTCCAGATCGGCATGCATCGAAGGTTGTGAATTGTGTGAAACTTTTAATGTCATGCCCATTTTTCTCTTTGCTTCAACTGTTACTATATGTATCGGGAAAAGTATTTTGACAACAGTATCGTGATATGTATCATATTGTCGTGTTCATTTATCGTTGCATCCCTACAATATACAGTAAACGTGATCATTCAACCATCAACACTAAGAGACCAAGCAATCTGGACTATGCACTACATCTAGCTTAACTCATTCATCCATGAGGAAACATTTGGACTCTTCCAATTCAAAGGTTGGAATAGTTCATTATGAAATTTCAGGGGTGAACGAGTTAAGGGTCAAATAACTTAACATGATAATGTTTTCTGTAAGTACACCATGTTGCATGACTTTCTGTAACACCGACATTTGACCTTGACCTCTGTGACCTTGTTCTATTGTTCAAACGTGGGAGTAGGGCATCCACATGTTACAGACACCGTTCAAGTTTTTGTGTGAAGTATTGAATGCTAACATGTAAGTACTGGTCACAAGTGTACTTGTGTGAGACTGAATTTTGCTGTACATCCAATACTGATCATATTACGTTACAGGATATACCACTTAATGAGGGAAGACTTCACCTTTCCGTGGTAGGGTCTTCGGAGTTGAGAGGGTACTTGAGTTCTATGACGACACCGTTGCGTTCCTTGAGCTGATCCTGGTTCTCCATGTAGTACTGAACCAGTTCAGCCAACGTGGCAAACTTCTCACCCCCGTACAGGTCGTAGAACTCGCCATTGTTCTGGATCTTTATGTGTGTCACCTCCTTATTACGTCTGTAAAATCAACACAATCTCAGAAATCAGGGTTCTGTCACTAAAATAACAAGTGCTGAGAACTTTCTTGTTCCTTGCTGAATAATGTTAAAGTGGAAAATGTCCGTGGTGTGGAAATGTTTATGTTTTACAGGTTGATTAATTTAGCACGAATTTATTCATAAACAAGAATTAATTTATATATCAGAATAAGACAAAAAGATTGTCAAAGCAAAAATATTTATACTGCAATTAGTTTAAGGGGTCACAAAGCGAACGGTTCAACACACGAAAAGTATTCTGTATGTCAGTTTTTGATAAATTTCACTCATGCTTTGCACTTTTAGGTCCATTAATGATGCCTCAAGATGTATTTATAAAACAGACACTGTTTGCTGTAATTATATAATTTATAAATGGCCTGTACTCCAAAATTACATTTTGATAATATTGGATATAAAACTTGCCAATTTTACCTTAGGCAGTAATTATTTTTTTGAAATATTGAAAATAAGCCATTTATAATTACTCAAGACATTGAACAGACATTTTTGCCCAAATCCAAAATGGGCAAATATAGTTGTTATCGAACTGGTCCAAGTTTTGATGGCTTAAAAGCTTGTGATAAAGTTTGAAATTAATCGTTCATGATTACTAATGATATTGAGCGAACAATGTATCATGCGTGCCTAAATTATAAAAGGCTATAACTCAGTCACACATCGCTGTCAAATGATGTTAAGAGAAAAACAGTAAAAAGTTAAAAGCATTTTGAAAGTATCGGTAATCCAATATTTTATGTATATTTTACTTTTGTTTTTTCTCATTTTATGTTTTTGTACTCAAAAGTGTTTTTTTTTTAATCTTTGAAATGTGTAAGGAATACACTTTTTAAATGTTTTGATTGTTATGTTGTCAATACTAAACAAACAATTATTCCAAGGCATTTTTGTTTTGTTTTAAAACTTTTATTGAACTGAACAAAATATTTTGAAAGTTTTGCAGCATATTGCAATATATATTGTAACGATTTAAGAAATATTGCAATATATCGCAATATCAAAATCTTGGCAATACCCAACCCTTGTCAATAATCACAATATCAAAATCTTGGCAATACTCAACCCTTGTCAATAATTACTAATGATAATGAGTGGACACTATTACAGGCCTGGTGCACGTGACCCTCCCAGTATCCGGTGCACGCCAAGGTGAAAACATAATATGTCCTGTTTAGAATATTTCGCACATTAAAATTGATCAGCTGATCTGTTCTGTACCACTTAACCCCCTATATCGGAACCTTTACCATTGTTTTTATGTAAACGTGACTTACAAATACATTGAAAATAAGATAATCCATTCAAGCAAAATTAATGGGAATTTTTCATGACTGTAACAAATGTGATTGGTAGGTGACTGTCTAAACACTCAACACTTCCTTCCCTGTGCGTATGGAGGGGGGAGGTTAAGAGGAAGTAATTGCACTGTGCCAGTTCCCTATGTTCAAGTTACATACCATATTTATCCTCTGATAAGCCCAGGAGGGCAACACATAAACTCCTACTCAAAGTTGGGTGTGTGCTTATTTCAGGATTGGTTTGGTTTGGTTTAGTATTGTTTAACGTCCTATCAACAGCTACGGTCATTTAAGGACGGCCTCCCCTGTGTGCAAGATACATGCGTGTAGTGTATGCATGTGTGTTTTGGGAGGTTGCGATATGTTCGTGTTAAGTCTTTTTGTGATAGCACAGAACTGATGCCCACTTTATAGTGCTACCTCACTGAAACATACTGCCAAAGACACCCAGCAGGACACCCCACCCAGTCACATTAAACTGACAACGGGCGAACCAGTCGTCACATTCCTAAATTGCTGCGCAGGAGTAGCAAGTACCAATTTTACAGACTCTGGTATGTCTCGGCCAGGGGACAGAACCCAAAGCCTTCCTCACAGGGGTGAACGCTCAACTACAGGCCAAAAGTGAGGCATTGTCAAGGGAGACATTAGGAAGAAGAAAGTTGTTTAGAAAGAAGAGAAAAGATAAGATCCCAAATTTAGTCGCCTCTTACGATCATGCATTGGGGGCAGCAGGTACAATTCCTACACCCTACCTGCAGGGACACTTATAATTATACTTAACTGTTGGTCAGGGGTGGGCTTATTTCAGGACATATTACTATAATTTTTACTTAACTGTATTTGTCAGTGGTGGGCTTATTTCAGGACTTTTCTTTTTTTTACTTAAATGTTTGTGAGGGGTGGGCTTATTACCAGACCTGGGCTTATTGCCATATAAATATAGTATTGATGCAGTTCACAAGGAGAATCAATTTCAGTGCAATGCAGATATCTTCAAAACATTTATCCAGTTATACTCATCCAGATATAAATATCTCCTAGTAAATGTCGTCCAATACTCACAGTTAACTTATTTGCTGAAGTTTGAACTTAGTCTCAGTCTTCTGTAATGTTCACGCATATCAAGTTTCATCAAAATTGAACAATATTTAAGCAAGTTATCTAGCAGAAACAAAGTGTGGACGGACAGATGCTTCCCGTACCACAATATGTTCTGTCAACATTTCTGACAGGCCTATAAAAATATCATTCAGCACTTACTTGTGCACATGTATTCTGGCTTTGTTTGTTTTGGCTTTTGTTTTCTTGCAACAGCTTTATAATGCTATCTCACTGAAATGCCATAACCTGGGCACAATAGCCAAACAATCAAATTGAAAAGAGAAGGAAGAGATTTGTTTGATGCTCAGTAGAGCAGAAATAAGGTTTAGTGCACGATACATCTTCACTGGACCACATACCAGCACATTAAGTTGGGCAGCATGCATGGAATCCAATTGTACAAAGGAGCACTGATCTTGAATAATCATCATATATATTGAATGGACAGTTGCTTGCTCCAGTGCACAATGAAGACTTGTATAATTTTCACCTCAATATACAATTGGATAGTCTATGTACCTGACAGACAAGGTGAAGTCCCCTGTGGTACTGCTGCTGTGTCGGGCCAGGAAGCTACCGTCATATCCACGATCCTTCAGGAGCTCCTCAGCCTTTAATCCAGTGATGTGAGGATGGAACCATCTGTGAACAGAAAACTTGTCAATAAATGAACAGCAAAATGGCTTACAGAGGTTTTCTGATGACTATACCTGTCTGGCATGGAGAGACAGTGACTATTACAGACATCTAATCTATCTACAGAGGTGCCTCCAATGACAACACCCTGTCTCAGTAGAGGTCACCTTGATGGCAAAACAGCTTGCCTGCCTGTAGGCTAGGAGTCACCCTGATGACACAGAACCTACCTGTAAAGGTCAAACTGATGACACAAAACCTACATGTAAAAGGTCATTGTGATGACAAAGAATCTGCCTGAAGAGGTCACCTTGATGACAAAAACAACTACCATATGCTTTAGAAATCATCCCAATATCAAAAGAACCTGCCTGTAGAGGTCATCTTGATGGCAAACAACCCACCTGTACAGGTCATTCCAATGATAAACAACCCGCCTGAAGAGGTCATTCCAATGACAAACAACCCGCCTGTAGAGGTCATCTCAATGACAAACAACCCACCTGTAGAGGTCATCCCAATGACAAACAACCCACCTGTAGAGGTCATTCCAATGACAAACAACCCACCTGTAGAGGTCATCCCAATGACAAACAGCCTGCCAGTAGAGGTCATCTCAATGACAAACAACCCCCCTGTAGAGGTCATTCCAATGACAAACAGCCTGCCAGTAGAGGTCATCCCAATGACAAACCCCCCGCCTGTAGAGGTCATCCCAATGACAACCACCCCGCCTGTAGAGGTCATCCCAATGACAAACAGCCTGCCAGTAGAGGTCATCTCAATGACAAACTACCCACCTGTAGAGGTCAGCTTGAGGACAAACAACCCACCTGTACAGGTCATTTCAATGATAAACAACCCGCCAGTAGAGGTCATCCCAAAGACAAACACCCCACCTGTAGAGGTCATTCCAATGACAAACAGCCTGCCAGTAGAGGTCATCCCAATGACAAACGCCCCGCCTGTAGAGGTCATCCCAATGACAACCAGCCTGCCAGTAGAGGTCATCCCAATGATAAACACCCCGCCTGTAGAGGTCATCCCAATGACAAACACCCCACCTGTAGAGGTCATTCCAATGACAAACAGCCTGCCAGTAGAGGTCATTCCAATGATAAACAACCCGCCTGTAGAGGTCATCCCAATGACAAACACGTGCACCCCGCCTGTAGAGGTCATTCCAATGACAAACAACCCACCTGTAGAGGTCATCCCAATGACAAACACCCCACCTGTAGAGGTCATCCCAATGACAAACAGCCTGCCAGTAGAGGTCATTCCAATGATAAACAACCCGCCTGTAGAGGTCATCTCAATGACAAACACCCCACCTGTAGAGGTCATTCCAATGATAAACAACCCGCCTGAAGAGGTCATTCCAATGATAAACGACCCGCCTGTAGAGGTCATCTCAATGACAAACACCCCACCTGTAGATGTCATTCCAATGATAAACAACCCGCCTGTAGAGGTCATTCCAATGACAAACAACCCGCCTGTAGAGGTCATCTCAATGACAAACCCCCCCCCTGTACAGGTCATTCCAATGATAAACGACCCGCCTGTAGAGGTCATCTCAATGACAAACACCCCACCTGTACAGGTCATTCCAATGATAAACGACCCGCCTGTAGAGGTCATCTCAATGACAAACACCCCACCTGTAGAGGTCATCCCAATGACAAACAGCCTGCCAGTAGAGGTCATCTCAATGACAAACTACCCGCCTGTAGAGGTCAGCCTGAGGACAAACAACCCAACTGTAGAGGTTATTTCAGTGACAAACAACCTGTCTGTAGAGGTCACCTCAATGACAAACAACCCGCCTGTACAAGTCATCTGGGTGACATACATATACATGTACAACTTCTCTGTAGAGGTCACCCCTCTGATAAATAACCTATTTGTAAGGGTCGCCATGCCTTGAAACAAAATGCCTGAAGATCACAGAGAAACTAATAATCTGCATTTAAGAGACCACTCAATGATGTGAAAACAAACATGCTATAAATGTCACCTCAGTGACATTTCTGTCTGTAGTCATCCAGATAAAATCAACCTATCTATAGAGGTCACCTTGATGACAAAGCCCTGTCTAGAGAGACCAACATTTTAGGTAACATATTGTTCTCTGCAAAATAAAAAGTATCTGTATCATATATTCCTTCTGATCAGCTGATAGGCAAAACCTTTCACATTGTTAGTTCACAATCAAACATTTAAATATGATTTTGTCAAGAACCTTCCATTTTAAGTATCAGCAATGACAATATGAATTTCATGTTTTTTTTCATATCAATTAATTATAAGATCGCAAACAATGCAAAAAATATAATCCATTACTTTCTAGTCTCTACACTAATTTCATAATGATGTACATAACTTTGAAGTCTACAAAACTCTCCCTGCATTCGTCTTGGATTGATTATCATGGTTTCATCACCGTAAGATTTTCCTGGTTTCAAGTGTTTCATAATTAATTCCTTGTGCTGAAAACATGGCTGATTGCCACTTTAACACATTTTGAAACATGCACCTTCATGTTCAAAAAGAAATTAAAGGGTACGTTTACAGACACCATACAGATTCTGATTTATTGTAAAAGCTATTTGTCAGAAAAGAATAGTAGGCATTTTACCAGAATATTTCGATAAATAGCTTAAAACTGAAATATATATCTAGCCATGCACAATCTTTCGTATTGGCACTGCATGGATAGGACATTACATTAATATAAGGCAGACTCAACTTTATATCTTAAATCTTCTTGCTGAAAGTTTTTCTGTAAAAGCATTTCAAAACTAGCTACTTGATTCACCGTGGGTATACATGTAGATATAAGCAATTAGTAGCAAATGGTTATACACGTAAGCCTGTGCATGGTCATTATATTTGCCTACACCTTAATTAGTTTCAGTGTTAAACAATGTTAAATTATCAACGTGGGTGTACATAGTGAAATATATATATTAGCTATACATTTAGGAATACATTTACTGTAATCCCATGCATGGCCAGTATTAAAAAACAAGAGGCCCAAGGGCCTTAGCGGTCACCTGAGTTATATCATAGGTACTGGTAGCTTTATTTTATTGTTTAGATGTGATGTGGAAATCAGCATGTAAACTAAGTGAAATACAATACTTGTCATGTCATCAATGGATAAGAATTTGAAAATATTGGTAAATGTTCCCTTTGGGGCCCCGCCCTAGCCCCTGGGGATGGGGCAGGAATCC